AGTCATAGCTGAATATCTAAATGAATGTTTCCCACATTAAATGCGATTAACAGGGGGCTATAAAGAAGAGATAAACCACACATTGAACAAGAGAAACTTGGGGCACCTGAGTGACTCAGTTGGTTAAGCATCTGACTCTTGATTTCAGCCCAGGTCATGATCTCACAGTTTGTGAATTCAAGCCCCACGTTGTGTTCCATGCTGACAGTGTAGAGCCTGCTTGGGATTCTCTCACTCCCCTCCTCTCTCTGCCGCTCCCCTGCTCACATGTTCTCGCTCTAAAAAATAAATAATTAAACTTGAGAGAGAGAGAGACAATCTTAGTTTGCAAAAGACATGTTTCAAAGCAAAAATGAGAGAGAGAGAGAACAGCTTGCAAAAGACATGTTTCAAAGCAAAAATGAGAGAGAGAGAGAGAGAGAAACTTAGCTTGCAAAAGACATGTTTCAAAGCAAAGAGGCATCAGAGAACATAAATATAAGATGGCCAAGGGTTAGTCAGATTTGAGAAAATGTACAGAGATATCATAATGGAGTCAGGTAGGTGGGTATCAAATTCAAGTGAGAAAAACAAAGATCAATAAGCTTGAAAAAATGTGGCAAGTCCAGAGCTCAGAGAGTGCCAGATTTAAGTAAAGTTCGACAGCAGCTGCTCTAGCTGTAGTTGCTTTTACCCTCTTTCTAAGGTAATGGGAACTAATGACAGGCAGAAAACATGGAGGTAAAAACAACCAAAAAGATATGGGATAGGCGGAGGCTGTGGAGGCAGAAGCACTATTCTTATTTTAAAGACAGCTCCTAAAGCCAACCCTTTTCCTTGAAAAGGAGTGTCTGAATTTCATACAGGAGGGAGTGATATGTTGAGCTTGGGGGAATTATCAAACTTGTGTCTTCCAACCAAGAGAGATACCTTCTTGGTGAGGTTCTACTTCCTTCCATGGCACATAGAGCAAGCATATATTATGATGACATCCTGTGTCAATCAAGGCGATGACAATGACCTTATTTTCCATCAGGAGCTGGTAGATAAGATGAGAACTCCTCCCACTGGCCTGGAAGATGTTCTGCCTAATGCAGATAGTGAAAGATTAGCATCATATTAGTGGAAGATTTTGCTAGAATTTGATTAGGCACTGGGCCTAACTAATGGGTATACTTATACCAAGAACCTAACATGGCACTGTTTAAATCCTAAAAGTTAGCTAAAGGGCTCTTTTATATGTGTGATTACAGATGTCTAAGATAGAGGTGATTTGGGGCGCCTGGGTGGCTCAGTTGGTTAAGTGTCCGACTTCAGCTCAGGTCATGATCTCATTGGTCGTGGGTTTAAGCCCCGCATCAGGCTCTGCTGATAGCTAGCTCAGAGCCTGGAGCCTGTGTGTGTGTCTCTCTCTCCCTCTGACCCTCCCCTGTTCATGCTGTCTCTTTCTCTCAGAAATAAAAAAAACATTTTAAAAAATTAAAAAAAAAAAAAAAAGAGGTGATCTAACTCTAACAAAGGTCTAGAGTACTGAGTAGAAAATAGGGCCCCTACCTTTAAAAAATCATTTTGCTTGCAAATGAGATGAAATCCTCATGTCTAGTGATCAAGTGGATCTAAGTGAACTAATCTTTGACATGTGGGTTAAGCCTTTTGCTGAAACTGCTGAATTGCAGTTTAGACTTGCAGTGAGGTGGAGAGATGTAATCACACCATATTTTCCTTGGCATATGAAGCATCATTTTTATAGTTTTAGGGCTGTGTGGCCCTGATTGACACTATCCAGGACAAGCTTTCCTCACCCTCCACCCACCCAAGCAGGCAAATATAAACTCAGAAGAGAAAAAAGAAAATAACCTGGCTGTCTCATAAGGGGCAGGTGTGCCACAACAGGCAGAAATGATCTACAACTCCCTGCAACTTCTGTAAAATGCAACCATGTTACTTTAAAGGGGACAGTGTGGAGTAATGAGGATAAAGTGAGGCCTACTGGGAGCCATTTTTCTTTTTCAAGACTGCAAGTTGGGGGCAGCAGGACACAAAAGAAAAGTGCTGTGGATTCATATCAATTTCTAGTGAAGCACTAAGACAAAGCTTCCGTTACACTACTGTTGCCAGGCCACGGGTAGCAAACAGATCATACGTGGCAGGTGAGCAGAAGCCAGTGTGAAGTCTAGAGTGAAAAAAAGCAACCAAGGGTCAGAAGTACATACTGGGGTGGTTCAGAGTCTGTCAAAGCAAGCAAGCAGAAACAAAGAACATGCACCAATAGTCTTAAAAACCAGCAGCAGACACCAGAAGTGTCCAAGTGTGAGACAGCCCTGGAGTGCTGGCTGAAGAGGCAGTCCTGTCTCACCCTTCCATCCTGAGGAAGCCCACCTTCTAGCAGCATGAGCTTCATTTCCCCATGAAGGCATCTACAAATGGGCCAAACAGGCTGTAGGGAAGAAGGCCTAGTATTACATGGTCATCTCCTACATTACTTGATTTAAACACACAAAACCCAGGTTCCATCACTACCCTACAGTTATGATCTATTGATTCTGATGTCCCATAAAGTTCATTTAAAGAGTAGTCAACCAGACCTATCAATGAAATTGTTATGCCTTTGTTGATTCTGCTTATAACCTGGTGCTACTAGCGTACAGTGACTATAAATATATTGGTCCCAAGAATACATTTCTAAACTTGTGCCAAAAAAATCTATACAAATTTTTAAAAATTTTTTAATGTTTATTTTTGAGAGAAGGAGAGGGAGGGAGGGAGAGAGAGGGAGAGAGAGAGAGAGAGAGCAAGCAAGCACAAGTGGGGGAGGGACAGGGAGAATGGGAGACACAGAATCCGAAGCAGGCTCCAGGCTCTAAGCTGTCAACACAGAGCCCAATGCAGGGCTCAAACCCACAGACCAAATGATCATGACCAGACACTTAACTGACTGAGCCACCTTGGGGCCTCTCTATTTCTTAAAAAGTCAGATCTATAGAAAAGACTTGATTCCAAAAGAACAAAATCAGCACACACATGAAATTGTTAGAATCTAAGAGTAAACTTTTCTTAAATAATGCGGGATTGAGAGGAAGCTTTAGTTCAAGTACTGGCTTATTAACAAGCTGTAAAGTTCTAGGTAAAACACTAGTTAAAAGCTCCCTAGGGGTGTGTGGGTGGCTCGGTTGGTTAAGTGTCCAATTTAGGCTCAGGTCATAATCTTGCATTCGTAGGTTTGAGCCCTGTGTCAGGCTCTGTGCTGACAGCTCAGAGCCTGGTACCTGCTTCAGATTCTGTGTCTCCTCTATATCTGCCCCTCCCCCACTCGTTCTCTCTCTCTCTCTCTCTCCCTCCCAAAAATAAACATTTAAAAAAAAAAAAACACCTCCCTAGAATGTAATTTTATTTTTGGTAAAATGAGGAGGTTGAATTTTATGGTCTCTAAGCAAAAACTCAGCTCTAAAAATGTTATGCTTTCGATTTCTAGTTTAATTTCGATGGACTTTTGATAATCTAAGTAATAAATATATGTTATCTGCTATAAGTAAAGATATATTTTTTTATATCTGAAGAAATCTAATATTGCTTAAAGAAAATACAAGGTGAGCATTTTTAGAAGACTCTGCTCCAATGTTTCCGCCAACATACTGTTGAATAATTTAAAAATACCTTTAATGTAATAGAAATAAAAATCAATTTAATATTAAATCTAATTTAACTCTGAGAATAATGTATTTCCTCAGAAAAATTTAGTAGAGAGACCAGTCAAATAATAGCGTATTGGGTACAATGTTCACGTTTCTTCCCCCTGGGTCTTTAAACTCTAGAAATGAAAGTTCAGATCTCTAAAATGTGTTGGAAGGCAAGTTAGAGGGAAGGAGAAAAAAGTTTGGGGGTGGGGGGAGAGACACACCAGACTCAACACTGTTCCAGTTCCCAAGTTACCAAAAAATAAAAAGTTGTCTTTGGCCCTTTCTTTTGCCTTTTGTGTACAGAGGGAAAAATAAGAAACAACAAAAACAATAAAAAACAGTGAAATTTACCATGACACTACTTTATAGCAGGTATTCTGAATCTTTTGTCTTCCCAAACACGTGAAAGTGGGTATGTGAACACGCACGCACACACAGTTACAGTATTTTCTACCCAAGTCTTTGTTCCGTATTGGAGCAGGTTTAGGGAAAATAAGCTTATGAATTTTCCATAGGAAATCTTAACCAAAAAGAAATGTAAATGACTACTGAAAGCCTGTGTATTTCATGCTTTACATTAAGGTAAAACAAACCAACAAGCAAACCCAAATAAAATAAACTAATAGAACCTTTTGTTAAAGAGCAATAAGAAAATTTCTTCTCGGTGCTAAAGATCTTCAAATCACAATCACATGCAAATCCAATTAAATTCAAGTGCAAAGTCACAAACAACAGGTTTAAATATTCTCATTTGGGTCTTTAAAATGACTCCACCACTGTGAAATGTGTGTTTTATAGGAGAAAAGATTCTATTCACCTCCATCCTTTCTCTTTTGGTTTCCTGTTTATGATTTACGTTTAAAAATGATACAGAGTCAATATACAATATTCTCCAAATGCTAACAATATTATTCAGTATTAGGCTTGCCTGCTTGAGCAATAACTTAAAAGACATTTAGAAATGGAAACATACTCACTTAGCTGGAGAATTAAACATCTGTAACTGTTTAAATGACAAGAGGAAATTCAATTTATTGAATAACTTGAGTAACGTTTATTACTTCAAAGAATATACATGAAAATCTTAACAAATTCCTTCCCCGATACGGTTAAAATGCAAATTGTCTTTTTTTCCCTTCCCTGTCTTACTCCAGAAATCTCCCGCACACAGAGCTGACAACGCCACCTACTGCAAAACCGAGCCGCCGGCTCAGGCGACGCTGCCAGCATTTCCATTCCATCACCAGGCTGGAGCTGAATAAAGGCGTGCTTTGTGTGGTACTGTTTCTTTTTTAAAAATCTCAAAGCCGAGAAGAACAGGCTTGTTATTTTGAAAATAGCATTTTCAAAAATGGAGCGTAAAATAAACAGAAGAGAAAAAGAAAAGGAGCTGGAAGGGAAACACAACAGCTTGGAAGATGCTGACCAAGGAAAGAACTGCAAATCCACACTGATGACCCTCAACGTTGGTGGATATTTATACATTACTCAAAAACAAACACTGACCAAGTACCCAGACACTTTCCTTGAAGGTATAGTAAACGGAAAAATCCTCTGCCCGTTTGATGCTGATGGTCATTATTTCATAGACAGGGATGGACTCCTCTTCAGGCATGTCCTGAACTTCCTACGAAATGGAGAACTTCTACTGCCGGAAGGGTTTCGAGAAAATCAACTTCTTGCACAAGAAGCAGAATTCTTTCAGCTCAAGGGACTGGCTGAGGAAGTGAAATCCAGGTGGGAAAAAGAACAGCTAACACCCAGAGAGACTACTTTCTTGGAAATAACAGATAACCATGATCGCTCACAAGGACTGAGAATTTTCTGTAATGCTCCTGATTTCATATCAAAAATAAAATCTCGCATTGTTCTGGTGTCCAAAAGCAGGCTGGATGGATTTCCAGAGGAGTTTTCAATATCATCAAATATCATTCAATTTAAATACTTCATAAAATCTGAAAATGGCACTCGACTTGTACTAAAGGAAGACAACACCTTTGTCTGTACCCTGGAAACTCTTAAGTTTGAAGCTATAATGATGGCTTTAAAGTGTGGATTTAGACTGCTGACCAGCCTGGATTGTTCCAAAGGGTCAATTGTTCACAGCGATGCACTTCATTTTATCAAGTAATTACCTGTGTCATGAACAAAGGCAACAAGCATGCAGCCAGCAAGCTTCGGAAAACCACGGCATCAAAGGCATCCCAAATAACGTGTGCCCAGCCAGCTCTGTACTCAGAGCCCTGCTGCTAATCAATTACTGTGAGCTAACGGTATGTAAATTCTATCGCTAAAGATGTCCTTCTCAAGGGTGTTCCTGCTGATAGACTCTTACACTTAAAACACAAACAAGTGATTTCTATATATTATAAATAAAGACTGAATGCTTTTGCTATTTGTTTATTTCTCCTTAAGCTGTCTTTCAATCAGAATGTCTTGGGTACTTGCACAATGAACAAGCATGTACATTATTTATCATTCATTTAAGTAAATGGTAATACAATATTTTAAGGGGCTGTAAGATTTAAAATCAAACCTACAAAGAAACTGAAGTGGTAAAATTAAGCATTGAGAGCAAAAGAGATGTGCAGATGTGCTAAAACCGAGCTATAGTGAAACCAAATGTAACTGTAAGAAGGTATTAAAGCTATTATTGACTTAATTTTACGGCAGGCACCAAAAGCTTATTCATAGTTCCTGTATTTCATACTATAATTATAGCTGAATTGACATATTGCTGAACATTCCTAGAAAACTGCTTGATGACAATAAAAAATAAAAGCACTATTAGCTTCTTTGCTTGTATTAATAATTATAATAAAAAGTTACATGTGTCACTTTCAAAACAAAGAGTACCACTTGATGATTTCACACAATACTATGTATTGATGTAGTCAACTGGCAGGCTATAGTAACTCTGACTGGTCTTCCAAGTGACAAAAATCAGCAAATTCCTTTCTTTGCAGGCAGAGCTCCAACACAACCTGGATAATTTAGCCTCAAAAGAATATGTGGTATCAAAATAATAAAGGAGTTCATTTTCAGAACCACCCTAAGTATATATTCATTTTTCAAGCTCAAAAATATTAAATGAGCATCACTAAACATTATTCTTATGAAAGAACTTTATTCTTTTCAATACCTGCGTTGATGCTAAATCTCAGATTCAGAGAGTTGTGTTAATTTCTTTAACTTCATGCTGAACAAGGAGTTTTTATTTTAAGTTTTAATTTTTTTAATGTTTTATTTATTTCTCAGAGAGAGAGAGAGAGAGAATGAGAGCGAGCGAGCGAGCATGAGCAGGGGAGGGTCAGAGAGAGAGAGGGAGACACAGAATCAGAAATAGGCTCCAGGCTCTGAGCTGGCTGTTAGCACAGAGCCCGATGTGGGGCTCGAACCCACGAACTGTGAAATCATGACCTGAGCTGAAGTCAGACGCTTAACTGACTGAGCCACCCAGGCGCCCCAAGAAGTTATTTTTAAATTAAGTTTTATATATGGCTGTCTCAATGAAATAATGCAGAAACTTAGCTCTAAATGTGAGTGCATTTTTCTCCCCAAAGAACAGCTAAATAATTCTATGCCTCTCATTTCCTTTGGATTCTAAGAACAAATTAGATCTTAAATTTGCTCCTTTAAATCTTAACTTTAATAAACTTTAACAAAAGGTTTGTGAAAACTTTGACTGAGGTTACACAAATTAACATAAATGTAAAAAGTTCGCTTACACATAAAAACTTAGAATTAGCAGCAGAGCTAATATTCATTCTCAGAACTCTGACTTCCAGTTACAAAATCAAAGGGAATGCAAAAGTTGGCTGTACATACTAAAGGAAATACTTTAAAATCTATCATACAAAAAGGTCCTTTTAAAAAATGCACATTAGGGGCGCCTGGGTGGCTTAGTCGGTTAAGCGTCCGACTTTGGCTTAGGTCATGATCTTGCGGTTCGTGCCCCGCGTCGGGCTCTGTGCTGACTGCCAGCTCAGAGCCTGGAGCCTGTTTCAGAGTCTGTGTCTCTCTCTCTCTGACCCTCCCCTGCTCATGTTGTCTCTCTCTCTCTCCTAGAAATAAATAAAACATTTAAAAAAAAAAATGCACATTAAAGGGGTGCCTGGGTGGCTCAGTCAGGTAAGCGGCCGACTTCAGCTCAGGTCATAATCTCACGGTTTGTGGGTTCAAGCCCCGTGTCGGGCTCTGTGCTAACAGCCAGCTCAGAGCCTGGAGCCTGTTTCTGATTCTGTGTCTCCCTCTCTCTCTGTGACCCTCCCCTGCTCACGCTGTCTCTCTCTCTCTCTCTCCCTCTCACTCTCAGAAATAAATAAAACATTAAAAAAATTAAAATAATTCTCAGAAAACATTTTTTTTAAATGCACATTTAAAAAAAACCCTCAAAACTCCATATCAACCACACAATCTTCTTTTATGTGTAACAGGAAAAAAGATATTTCTAATAAAAGTCAAATTACCTCTTATATACGTTAGCATACATAGCTTAATCAAGATTGAAAGGAACTATGAAAACAGAAAAATACAGTAAAATCTATTTTAGCAGTCACTATAATAGAACTGTTTATATGCTTCATCAGCTTATGAGTGGACTTTTCCTTGACATTTGGGCTTTGGTAATGAAAAAAAATGATAGTGATTTAATGTCAAAGCAAGATTTTCTCTAACAAGATTTCACTATAGATAATAAATATAGCCCTGACATATCTTTTTACAGGGGATATCACTGAACAAATATCCTTAGAAGTGTAAGTTTTTGCATGAATTCACAAAAAGAGAATTTAACTGTTATAACAAATCATTACTTATGGAAACCACTACTTAAAGAAATCTGTCATTCATTTTGATGAATGTCTCTAAAAAATTGTATCTGGAAGCATTTAATTCATCTTCAAACTTTTGATAAACCATAATATTCTAAAACAATTTAATAATCTAGCAGGTTATTTGACCAGACTGATTATTCTTGTGTAACATTTTAGAAGTGTACCTTTTTAAATTCAGCTAGTTGCACTTGGATTTACACATCCAAGTGCATAGTGTGTTGTAATATCATTTTCAATTTTACCATTTCTTCAAATATTTAGCAATACTTCCCATTTAAAAACACTCAAGAAATCATACAAAATGCCAATCATAAGTCAGAATGACATTGTCATATTTTTGTTTGTAGTCAATGAAGAATTTCTTCCTCAAATTTTTCTCACAAAATTCTTATTTTTCTCATTGCTCCATAGACTAAGTCACAAAGTGACTCTTTATCTTCTCTTAAGAAGAAAGGTAATAAAAAAATAGGTTACTATACTTGCCACAAGCCCAACATATACAGTCTTATATTTGGAATTATCCCACACAATGCTTCTAGCACTGTACTTAAAATATGCAAAATAAAAACACAGCTTATAGTGTACCATACTTCTACAATGTACATGGCTGTGTGCAGAGCAAATGAAACACTTAATGAGACTTTTCAAATAATAAAAGATGACCACCATCCCAGACTGAAGCTAATGATACTAATGAAGCTTATTTTTTAAAGAAAATTAAATACAGTTCAATTCTATTTTAAAGATAATAAAAGATAACACTTACTGTTTTATTACATGCCTGATACCACACTATGAGCATGTATTGTCTTAATTAATCCTCACAATGACCCTAAGAAAGGTACTATCATTCTTTCACAATCCTATAGTTATTAAAGAGGTAAAAGAGGATTCAAAACTTGAAACCCAGGTATATTCGTTTCAGAGCCTGCAGGAACTGTGTCTGCTTTTGCTGGCCACTTACATCTCTAACACTTAAAACCTGGCATAAAACTGGAGTTCATGAAGTATGGGCTCAACACAGAATACCAAAATACAGGTTTGCTTCACTTGATAAAAATCTCACAATGCAGGTTCTTATAAAATGTTGAGTGAAAAACTCAACTATGGGAAAGTAAATACAATTTTTAATGTCATGTTGGGTCATTTAAAGAACTTGAATCATCTCACAACAATAAAGGATATCCTAAATTTCTCTATTGGTAAATCTAGATCTTCACATAACAGGTTTGTGGAAAAAGGAGATTAACTTTTTATGACCTGTACAGTCCACAGAATTGACATATTATGAAGAAAAAATACAGCACACATAAGCTCTGAAGTCAGACTTGGATTCAAACCCAATTAACCTCCACTAACTTGCCTACAAAATGTAAACAAGAGGGGTGCCTGGGTGGCTTAGTCGGTTAAGCATCCGACTTCGGCTCAGGTCATGATCTCAACGGTTCATGGGTTCGAGCGTGGCATCGGGCTCTGGGCTGACAGCTAGCTCAGAGCCTGGAGACTGCTTCAGATTCTGTGTCTCCCTCTCTCTCTGACCCTCCCCTGCTCATGCTGTCTCTGTCTCAGAAATAAATAAAAAAAATTTTTTAAATGTAAACAAGATTCTTAACTTCTTTGAACTTCAATATCCTCACAGCAAAATGGAGATAATGATTAGCTGACAGATCCTTTTTAAGGCTTAAATTAAATTCTAAATTATATGTAAAGGGCTTCATCCACTATAGACTTTCAATAAGCACTGGTTATTATCTTATCCAGAGTAAAGATATCTTCATGACACAACCATGAATAACACGCACAAAAACGCATTTACATTAATTAGGCTTTCAATTTAGACATAAACAGAATGCAGACTTTTAGCAAATGCAAGCTTAAAACTTTGATGAATGCTATAAGGTACAAGAATATGTTTTAAATTGCTACAGGTAAACATAGTTTTCATTGATATTAGTTTAAAAATACATGAGCGTTTCTTGGGACTTTTATAGTCTATCTTCATGTACAAAATCTACAAGAACAAAATAATCATTGCAGCTGTTTCATCAGCAGTATAAAACCAGTCAGCAGTAAGATATGTGATAACACAATCTGAGAGATACCCCCATCTAATAAATTCTGGTTAAATGTCTTAAACTGCAATGATGTCAGTCAAGGTTAAAATTAGAGCATCTGAATCATAATTATCCTTGCTGACAAAGCAGAGGTGTGGTATGGACTATCCTAAAGAGCATGCAACTTAGAAATTATTTGTATTTAGCTTTGAAATATATATGGCTACTTCTGTAGCAGACTGATCTTCCTAATCATATTTTGCTTAAGCTGATGTTAAAATTAATTTGCTTCGGTGAACAAGCACCAAGGGAGTGGTGATAAAGGAAACTGTGCCGGGCAGAAGGAAATATCTAAGATGAAATTTTAAATTTACCTAAAATAATTTATAAGAGGAGAATATGTTTCTATCTCTTGAACAAAATATACAAAAGAGGGTGCATAGTGACTCAGTTAAGCATCCGACTCTTGGTTTCAGCTCAAATCATGATCTTACGGTTCGTAAGTTCAAGACCTACATCAGGCTCTGCGCTGACAACACGGAGCCTGCTTGGGGATTCTCTCTCTCCTTCTCTCTCTTTCCCTCTCCTGCGCTGTGTGTGTGTGTGTGTGTGTGTGTGTGTGTGTGTGTCAAAATAAATAAACATTTAAAATAATAAATGCAAACAACTATCTAATAAATCACTCATTTATATGTATTTAATAAAGAATAGTTCAAGAGCTTCTATCAAACAAAAATCACTGATACACATCTCCTAAGTTGCTATAAATGAGCTCCATTTAATTCAAATTTTCCAACAATGCAAAAAAAAAACTGTATAATGTTAATGTTTTTGTATAAAATGTGGAAACTCTAATTTAAATCACTAATTATTTTAGAAAAAATACTGAATTGGATATGAAAGAAT